TATGTGTTTTGGAAGGATGCAGTAGAAATATTCTCTCTACACAACAACAAAGAAAATTGATTCTAAGCCCCACTCAAATCTTAGATTTAGAAACTGAGCATCTCAAACATGATAGGCAAATTCTATACCACTGAGCCATGTTCCCCGCTGGCCACATTACTGAGCTATGTTCCTGAAAATGCTTCCTCAAAATTTTCTCATTTTAAAATTAAGCACTTAGTTACATAAACTCCCAGAGAATTTCCAATCAAAAAAGTACTGTCTATGACAATCTTAGTCACAGCATACTTCTGCAAAAATGTCATCTAGGGAGGTATATCGAAGGACAAAGAAAACACATCTTCTAAAAACTCGAGGCAAACGATTTCTGTGCCTTGGCCCACCACTGGAAGAATAAAATATAAAAAGAAAAGCACACTTTTATCTCTAACGTTCCAAGAGTAACTGGAACACACACTCGGCGAACACAATGACTACTGTCAACACTGATGGTGACACTGAGCGCAGCATCATGGTTTACTGGTTATCTGTAGGAGGGGAACGAGATAGACATCACTGTAAAGTCCTCTTCCTTCCACTTTCCCAAAGCAATGTTTCAAACACCAGGTAGAAGCTGGGCATGGTGGCATTGCCTGTAACACCAACTAGGCAGAAGCTAACACAGAAGGATTCCAGGTTTGAGGCCATCTGGGAGGCACAGAGAGACCCTGTCTCAAAACAATAGCAAGGTAGAATCTATTTGGCAAGCTTTCAAATGAGAACAGGGTTGAAAACAACAGCAACATCATTTTAAATGAACCATGCACTTAGACTTAAAGGGTTAACCTGCTGACATTCTCATGAACCTATACGTTGGGTCACATCTGTGAAGAGGGACACACTAATTCCTTTGAAGGAAAGTCTCTAGTAAAGCATGGGCCCACACAAGTCACTTAGGGTCACAATGGCAACTACAGACTATTTTTTACTAGCTTTTTTCCTTCCTTGTACCACTGGTGAGAGACTTGGTCTCTAGTTTTTGCTTAGAAACTCTAACTAGTCAGTCACCTTTCCCACACCCGAGCACCCAACAAGCACTATTCTCTCTATGCTATCATTTTAATGTGAGATAATCTCATTTTTGGGAAAAAATTAGTAAAGGATTGCCCTTGAAGTTCGCATGATAATGATAATAATCTTCCATGGGAAAAATACCGTTTTTATATCTTCTTACATTTACGGAGTAAAAACAGGCATATCTCCAAAGCATAGTAATCATAACAAAATCTCAGTAGTAGAAAACACTGCTGAGGAGTGCTAAGTCATTGAAAACTTCCCAGACAAGTATTGATTTATGCATCTTTTCACTTTAGCTAAATCTGCTCATTCTTTTTCTGTCCCTTTTCTCTATGCATAAGAAACAGTAAGAAATAAAACAAAGAACTGTGATCTAGCTACTCTAACTATTATTCAGATGAGTCATTGAGGACTAGTGTGTGCTCAGAGGGCTATAAGAAGGACTACAAGGTAAGTAGAAGCCATCCTTCCTGTTCTCAAAAGCTCATTTATAATCTCTCTGACAGCGTTATCAGCATTGCCAGCACCTAAAATATACTATCAACACAATAAAGACAAGGCTAGAGAAAACTGCAGTAAGTGTCTACCACCAATTAGCTGTCTATCCAGAGAAGGGCCCCTCAGGCGCCCAGCCCAAGGGCTTGAGCACGAGCTGCTGTCACAGTCTGGCCCCAGGGTGTCATCACGCTTCCCCTGACAGTCTACAAGTTCTCCTTCTGGGAAAACCAAAGGGCAGAACAGAATCAGTCACCAGATCAGGCTGGGGTCAAATACCAGGAATCACTGTGATTGTCAGAGCAGAATCTGGAGGGAAAAAAGATGCTGGAATGAACAGGTCAAAGGGGAAGATTTGTAAACCATACAGTATATGGGCATTTTGTTATAACTTCCCCAAAAGTATAAGATAAACATTTTCTTAAATAACCATGATACTTAGTAGTCTCAGGGCTATGTGTTTCTTTCCATTTACTCAACCAACATGTATTAAAACCAGGACACCAGTTAAAATTCTATAAATGTGATAAATAAAAATATAAAACTGTAGCTTTTGTTCAAACAGAAGAAAGTCATGAAACAATTATACAACACATAAATTTAGCTGTGCTATGAGCCAAGAAGGCAAAGTCAGGACTGTTAATAGATGTGTCAGCAGAAGAGCCTAGTCAATGGCAGGGTGTGGCAGAATATATATTCTCCATAGTTCAAAGCCACTCCTCTAATGTTAAATAAAAAGAAAACATTAACTATTGCTTGTTCGGCTATAGAGTTAAGCTTCCTGGGATACGCGACTGACGGGTCAAAGGTGCCCACCACCCATTACATAGCAAACAGCTGCTCTCCCAGCACAATGCACTCAGAAGGGAACTGCTAAGGAGGAAAAAAGACTCCGTTTTCTGAACACCTACTTAGAAACAAAGGTTTTCTTACACGCCAGTGTGGGTGATTGAGCCCTGGGAGAATGTGCTTGTGAGAGCATCCACATGCTCAAGAGGACTGTGATGTTCAAGTCAAGGATGGAAATGTCCAGTGCACTTCAAGATCAGATATCACAGAGGATCAAGGACAGAACAGAAAAATAAACAAGAAAAGCAAATGATAACTCAGACTTTGATTTCATTTGAAACCAATATAAATCCTCAAGTTCCCCTTGCGTTCCATACGGAAAGTCAGTCACAGACTATGTGAAGACCTTTGTCTCAGTACACATATATTTGGAAACAAGGTCTTCAAGAGGTAATTAACATTAAATTAGGACACAAGGGTGAAGCCTAAGCCTATAGAATAGTGTTCTTAGAACAAGAATAGAGATTAAACAAAACAAAATCAAAACCTTGCACCCTCCTCTCTTTACTATTTGAAGCCATAATAAGAAGATTGCTGTCAGTAAGTCAAAGAACCATATGAGAAACGAACCTGCCAAACCTTGTTCTCAGCCTTCAGGCCCTGTGAAAAAAATAAATGTATTATTTAAGTCAAACTGTGTATGTATTTTGTTCTGGAAACCTGAGGTGACTAATACACCTTCCTAATTCTTTTCTACTTGGGTGTCTAAAGTGCACTCTTCTGAGTGACTTAGAGAATAGTCTGCTCAAACTGAGGGCTGTATCAGAGAATATTACCATGTTACTGTTTAAGAAGTATTCCTTTACACTTGACAACTAGAAAGAAGGAAAATAATTAGTCAATGCAGAGAAAGGAATGCATGGGTGACTTTCGTATGTTTGTATTTACTTTTAAATTCTTAGAATTTCATATTCTTTTCTACATAAACGTAAGAACTCTGCCATGAACCATATCTGGGTATTTTATCTGGGTATTTTCAGTTGTAATCAGCTTGTCTCTGAATCCCACCAGGGTTTACTGATATAGAGTAAACAAGGCTACAAATCACATACAATGTATTTAGTATCTCAAGGCTTTGCAAATTGATCTGAAATAGGGGTCAGCTCAAATCACTGTCCAAATGAAACTATTCCCTTCCCTTGGAGAGAAAAAAGCATGTACGTTAGAGATGGCAAATGTTACAGGGAGGCTAGATTCAGATGTGGGGCTGCTTGTTTGCAAGCGGACAGAGGCCAGATTTCCTCAGGTGAGATTCTCCAGTTATTTACTTGGTAGAAGTCATGGATATTTAAAAGCATACATCTTTGCGGCTGGCATTAAACTTGAAATCTGGTGGGCAACTTTTCAAGAAATAAAAGCTACAAACAAAATAGCTTTCATTCCATTCAGCACGCTGTGGGAAGCGACTAATGGACAAGCATTACTGTGACTGGCAGGGCGAGCTGCCAATAACAGGGATTCTAGCCCACATAAAAGCAACACTTTCTCAGGTTATTTCACTAATTTGTCAGTAGGACATTATCTGACAAGAAGGAAAAGCAGGGCTAGAGAGCACGGGAGAAGGGAACATCTAAGAGTAAAAGTTCTACCTTTGTTAGCACTGGTTGGTAATCTCCCCTTTGTGTAATCAGGATTTACTTCCACCATTTCCTAAACCATATTGCATTCAACAAGAGCTATTTCTTCTCTGGTAGGATATGCGTCCATCATTTACTTTTGTCTTCTTACAATAAGAAAATAAAGTCTAGTGGTCAGAAGCAAAGAAATGGTGGCATTCTGACATCCATCCTGCAAAAAGACTGCATACTTTGGCATCCATACTGCCTTTTCATCTGCCTGTTTCCTCCTGTGGATGGGTGGGTTGGGGAGTGAGGACTCCAAAACTTCTCTCATCTCCTTTCCATCTTCCCCCCTTAACTCCTAGTTCTTCCTTACCACTTTAGGTAGACAAATCAAAATGCTAAGCAAGTCAAAACTTAGAACTTTTAACAGGGTGAAATCTCCACCATCATAAAGGAAGAATCAATTCACTTCATTACAGTTTCAAATTTGTAGTTCAAGATTTAGTAGAGAACACCCTACTTTATTTCCTGCAACTGCGAAGTGCTCAGAATCTGAGGTGGTACACCTTGAGTTCAAATGCTACTGCTACCTCTTACTACTGAGCAGATTTAGATAACAAGGGAGCTAATCCTTCTGTGCCTCCACCTCTCATTTATCATCTATGCCACATCTTATTGATTCAGGTAGAGAGTGCCTTACATGGACAATTAACCGTTATCAAGATTATATATTCAGAAAATACCTAAAGGTGGCTGTTTTAAGATTAATACTCATTAGTAGTATTAAATAGTTAGATGTAAAACCAAGTAAAGCTTCATTTGTCTTAGGGAACATAAAACAATATTCTTATACATCAAAGAAGGAAAGGAGTTCAGAATGGAATCCTTTCCTCTTAGTTAGCCTCAACTAAAGCTAAGACTTGAACTTGACACTCAGAATCAACTTTTCTACATGATGAGTCAAACGAAAACCGCAAGTCATTACAGAGTCAGCTAAAAGCACTGACAAGCAGAGACTTTGCTCTGTGAGATACCTACTTCTGGGGAGATCTGTTGTCAACTTCAGCCTTCAGTCGTAAATTCTCCCTCAGCAGGCCACCATTTTCCAACTTCAATTTTTTATTTGCCTGAAAGGAGAGTTAAAAAAAATTAAACATAAGCCAACACAAAAGTACCTTGTAAAAATGATGATATGAGCCATCTGTATTCTTAGCAACCTGAATACTAGACACAGTCCTCAGAAACGTAAAATCACCAGTGGGAATAACATGAAACTGCAAATACAACTAGGTATTTAAAAATATACATTCCCTGAGCACTTTTTAAATCCTATACTCAGGGAAATGAAGTTGTGTTAGCTAGCTCAAAGCTACTAAGGGACCATGCTAATGGTAAACATGTTTATTTTTTTCATTTTACCATAACTGAATGCTCTATACAAGACAAGATTACATCATACCCAAGTATTTATAAGCTAATGCTAAAGAGTTAATTCTTATAACATGAGACTAGTTTCTTTGTTACTATTTAACACTTCTCTAGTGATAAATCTAACCCAGGTAAGCTACTAACTTTCTTTCTTTAGCAGGTCTTTCTTATTATGTCATTCAACTTCTGATATCCTTAAAATTTGGGCAATATTTCCTAGTAAATTCCACCGTACCTTGACATACACATGGAAGAAAAAAGTTCTTTAAGAATGACTTTTTTTTCTTGGTTTGTTTAATACCTAAAAATTACTAAAATCATGTAGTAGCTCATCTGGAATGCACAGACTGACACAAAAGAAAAGAGGGAAGCAAGAAGCTCAGTATCACAACAGCTTAAGAAAAATAAAATAAAATAAAAGTTCATGCTCTTATGTTGTAGAATATTAATCTAAGATGTGTTACATTTAATACATAAGATGTGTTATGCTGTGGAACATTTGTTTAATGATGCAAAGATACGTTGCACTCTTTCATGCTGCATTTGTTTAACTCTGTGAAGCTGTGATTCTTTGCCTGTCTAAAACACCTGACGGCCTAATAAAAGAGCTGAAAGGCCAATAGCGAGGCAGGAGCAAGAATAGGTGGGTATGCAGACAGAGAGAATAAATAGAAGGAGAAGAAGGAATAGGAGAGGAGGACACCTGGGGCCAGGCAGCCAGCCACAGAATAAAAGTGAAAGAAAGAAAAGAAAAGGCCCAAAGGCAAAAGCTAGGTGGGCTAATTTAAGATAAGAAAAGCTGGATAGAAACACGCCAAGGTAAGGCCCTGCATTCATAACTAAGAATAAGCCTCCATGTGTGATTTATTTGGGAGCTGGGTGGCGGACTCCCAGAAAAGACCAAAGACCAAAAGAGTCAAATGAATAAAACAAACAAACAAACAAACAACTACACTCTTAGACTTCAGAATTTTCTTAAAAACCATTTTATTTAAATTTTTGTTACTGTATTTGTGTACCACTGAGAAGATTAAATTCTATAGGTTAGTCACCAAACTTATTAACCCAATCAAGAAAATGCTGTGGATGCTCATATTTAACAAATCATAGAATTACTGTCAGGGAAAAAGAAAGGGAAACCTAAGAAATTTGAAAACATATAATAAAAACACTGGCCAGAGTTTCTGACTAACTTCCAGAGTATATTACTTACCTACGTACCTTAATACAATTATACCTCAACAATAACAAGCAAGGGAGGTGGAGAATACTCACTTGAGCCTATCCCCTTACTCAAACATTACCAAGTTCATTTTAGGCTCTGAGCACTTGCTCACCTTCTTCAGGGATGCACACAAACCAGGATGGTGGAGGGTTAATTCTTTAAGTGACTGATAGACACAACCATCATTACCTCCTGAAGATACAGGAAAGCCATTTACTTCCTCATACACCAACAATGAATTAAGCTTTCAAGCACAGAACCATAAAGGGAGGCACTTAGTGAATATTTTTTGATGATGACAGGAAGCTTAAATTAGAACTCACCTGACTTCCTTCCCTACCCCACCCACTAATACTGGGATCAGAGTATGTTTCAAGATCCCTCACCAGTCCCATGGCTTTCTAATACTTCTTGTTACAGGTTGGATGCTCTTAACTATTAAAAGAACCTAAAGGTTATAAACAGTAGAGTTCTGCCTACTTATAGTACCAGGGGCTATCAAAGGTTCTGATTATTATGCATTCTCAACTCTGACTGGGAGTGACAACGTCTCATTTCCAAACTCATGGAATCCAGGCAGTATCAGACGTACATTTGCTCACACCAAGTCATACTCTACCGAATCGTTTCTTTTTCAGCATCTGACTGAGATCATTATTTGTACTTCACATTTGCTCTTTGTCTCTGTAGTCCATGTTTCTTACTCATTTGTAATTTATTACCTAATATTACCACTGGGTACCCCAAACAGGCTTAGTAAATATCCCAAATAATTCTGATAACACAGTAATTGTGACAATATGTTCATTTACTAATTCTGGTAACATGTTAGTGTTGCTAAGGTAACATGTTCATACACTAAGGCTGGCTGCAGCACACTAGGGAACTGCACGCTTCCCTCATAAAGACGCAGGGAGGTATGGATGAAGTTCTTCTTTCTGAAAGCAGTCTCTATATGCCTTTCACACTGGCCTTTTATGAATCACACAGCATTTGTTTTGTATATGGAGAATGGTTTACACTGAGTTGAAAATGTTTTTCTCCTACTTAACCTCGCTGAAGATATGAGAGCTAACATGCAGTGGTTCTTCTAGAAAATACCATACGGAGTCCATTAACCATTTCGTGGCTCAGGACACAATAATTCAGAACAAGAACAGCATTTTAAGGGAATGCTGATAGGTTAAAAGGGCAGCTGTAGAAACGAGTGCTATAAAATCACACCATTTAGCACTGTTGTATGGCAGGGCAGATAATCCTGAAGTCAAGCGAAAGGCTGGTCTCTGTTCCTGAAAGCAATACAATACCTGTCACTGTGCTAGTGTGAATGGCATGCATCTTTATCTCCTTTCTAGACTAAAAAATCCCGTTTGCTTCCCCACTCTCAACTAATGTTCTCTGTATCTTGTTGGATGGACAGACAGCCCACGTGTCACATTACTCTCCGGCCTAAGTGGTCTAAAGCAGGAGCTCACGGCTTTCTCTGGACTTAAGTCAATAAACTAATTCCAGAATGTACTTACATTCAGCTATCAACATCAGAGAAAGGCAGTGCTAAGAGAGACTTGGTTAAAATCCTTTGTTCAGCTGGGTACAGTGAGACACACCAGCAATCCTAACACTAGGAGTCTGAAGCAGGAGGGAGGTTAACGTGAGGCCAGCCTGGGCTACATAGCAAATTCTGGCAATCTTTGACTATATAGTGAGATCTTGCCTCAAAAAGAAGCCAATAACTGTTTCTTTGCTAAGCTGGGAGATGGGATATGCTTGTTTCAATGTCCACAAAGCAGTCACAGCTGTAAGCTTAAAAACTTAAGGCAAACCACAAAGGGGTACAGAAGCGCATCCTTTCAACGGATGCAACTCTTCCAGAAGCACACCCATAGACAAGCACTACAGCGTCTCCAGTTATAGTCACAAATGGAACCACCTGATACTTCTTGGCAGCTAAAAACAGCTAATGAGACGACATTTTCCTACTGCATGGAAACCTCATTCAGGCTTTAGTCCTGCTCTCACACATTAGCTATGGAGAGTCAAGGATATGGCTATTTATACTTGTGAAAATACGTAAAATATTGTAGAACTTCAGAAACAACCACCACAGACTTTCACACAACTACAACTTACCTCTTTTAACTTATCCACATCATCTTTTACTTTTTCATAGATTTCATTAGCTGTTCTGAGTTTTTTCTTCCATTCCACTACCGTTTCTGGGTCAGTTTTACTTTGACTATCTGTTGCTGGGTGTTTGTCTTCGTTCTGGCTGCCCTGCACCAATGTCAAAGGGTCCAGAATAGTCTTGATCTGTGACTCCAAGCTCAGATTTTTACTTTTAAGTTCTTCTACTTCTTTCTGCAAACAATCTATTTCATCCTGAAAGAGTACGGAATTCAACGATCAGGTATGAACTACTGCTTGTATATGCTAAGCCAGAGCCAATCAATGTGTTCTTGAATATTACACTCAAACTTTCATACATACATGGACCCTTTAAATATCAGAACAGTTTTATAAGGAAACGGGGGAGATATAAAACTAGATCAAATATAATATATACATGCATACATATATATGTATATATTATAAAATTTCCATTCCTCTTTTAATGAAGATAAAATGTCTACTATCAAAAGTATATTGAATTCGTTTGTAAAAATTCCAACTACATGGTAAACCAGTCTGCTCATTCACCTTTAGATGAAGATTAGAAATAACACTTCACACTGATGCTAACATATCAGTTTACTTAAACATAAAATTTACTTGTGGACTAGAATTCTGCATGTTTATAATCGTCAGTGATTCTACAGACAGTAACAAATTGAGTTCTCTAAGCGAGCTTCTTTAATCTAATCACTGATGTTTTCTTCTAAAGGAGCAAATATAAAATAAACCGAAGAGGTAAAAATTAGTAAACACATACACACACACGCACACACACAAACACACACACACTTTTAAAAACGAAGAGGCTAGAGAGAGAGCTGACTCAGAAGCTCTTCTCCAGGACCTGGGCTTGATTCCCAGCACACACCTGGCAGTCCTAGGTGATCCAACCCCTTCTTCTGGCCTCAGACACCTAGCACTCAAGTGGTGCATAGGAATACATGCAAACAAAACATTTATATACATAAAATAAAAATCTCAAATTAAAAAAAAATAATTTTAAAGAAGGAAAAGAAAAAAGGAAAATGTTTCCATTTCTTCCTATTCTATGAAATCTTAGTCATTTGTCCTTTACTTAAATAAAAGCATTCCTCTATTTAAAACAGAAAAGATAATTTAAAACTTATCACACATGTTTAGATTGGTACTCAAGGTTTCAGACTAGGCACAAAGGTGAATGTGTGTCATCTCGAGGGTTACAAGAGTCTCCAAAGACAAACAGCGCCCCCCACCCCCGCCCCAGCAAAAAAGGCCCAAGGGAAAATACAAAGAACAAAGCTTCATAGGATGCACATCTCAGACATGTGGGGCTCAGATCAGTTTCCCTTAAGTCCACTGCAGGAGTTGTGTTAAAGCAGTGTTAGATACCTCATACTCTTTGTGGAGGAGCTCGAGTCTCGTTCTCCGAAGGTGCTTCCTGACCATAGGGCTCAGCATAGGTTCACCTTCACCTGTTCCTCCTGGAGGGAAAAACATCCTTATTTTTGTTGAGTTTGGGCAAAATGAAAACGAACCATTTTTTTCATATTGCATTATATAATGTAGTGGTATTTCATTTGTATTTTAATAAATAAAGCTTGCTTGATGATCAGCAAAATAAAACAGCCACACTGGCCAGCCTTACAAGCCAGGCAGCAATGACACACTTTTAATCCCAGTAGCCACAGAAACCAGGCGGTAATGATGCATGCCCTTAATCTCAGAACTAGAGAGGAGTATAGGACTGAAGGAGACAGTTCTGAGTCTCAGTCTCATTCTGAGGATTCCTGGAGGCAGGATCACCATTTTCAGACTGAGGTCGAGGAAAGAGACAGTGGCTAGCTGCTTTGCCTTTCTGGTCTTCAGATTGAACCCCAATATCTGTCTCTGAGTTTTTATTAAGCGAGCTTCAATATAACTTCCCAGAAACAAAATTTGGATATGCAGATTGGAGACTCTGGTTTAGGCAAAGATAATGTGAAACTAATTAAGGTTAAAAAAAGAAAATTAGTGCCACATTAGGAGGGGCCAGGGGAGTGTCAAACAGGAGCTAGGAGATTCGAAGAGACTACTGCTGTTTTATTTTTACTTTAGGGGTAAATCTTTCCTTTTCTTTAGTAAACACTGAAATGAGCTTGACATTGTCCTCAAGAGGACCAGGGTCTCCAATCTGACTAAATTTTGTCTCACCTCTATACAGGCTACATACCACCACTCAGCCAATATTCGTAAAGCATACTTTGAGGCATACCCTTGCTCAAAACCTAAACATCACCCACCCCATCACGCCTTTCTCAGAGTTACTCACCTTCTTCCCAACACTCTCTAGCCCTTTTATTTTTCCTTCTTAGCACCTGTGCCTTTAAACCATTAATATTTCTGTCCACATGCAGTCTCTAATGTAAGCTGCATTTGGCTTGAGGGTTCTTTGTACTACACATACTATATAAAATTACCAATAAACCCAATATGATGTTGATCTGTAACAATGAAGGCTTCATATCACTATTCCCTAAAAACTGTTTATAAATTGTCTTAAATCTATCTTACGCACACAAAAAAATAAACCCTCACCAATAATCTCCTTGCAAGGATTTTCTGGAGTGATAGGAACTCTGCAAGCCGGACACTGGCTGTTATTCTTCAACCACAAGTCAATGCAAATGGAACAAAACACATGGTTGTTGGTACATACAACAGGTTGACGAACCTTTGAAAAAAAGAAACATTACGTTTAGTACAGAGAAACTTTTATAACTGGATTCCTAATGTGATATGTTTAGAGTAAACAAATTGTTCCTTTCAAGTACAGCCGAGCAGGGGGGATGGAGAGAACACAGGATGGTAAAACATGCTTCTTTTGACCACACTGTTTCTCATATGACAAAGATGCCAGCTGACAGCGCCCCTCAGAGAGATCATGCAACTTCACTCTAAGACGTTTATTATGCATCGAACATTCATGGTCAAAAGAGAAAAAGCTTTCAATTCGCTAACTCTGGGACCTTATTCCTCAGCCTATTTTCTATTAGAATCACAGAATAGCAGGACCATCAATCTGATGCTTGAATTCTTGAGTGCATTCCACTACAATATTAAGTATCAACAACTACCTACTAAATATTACAAAAAGATCTGCTTTGTTATTGATGTGGTTTGTCATGACTTCATTCCCCAATATAATTGCCTTTAAGAGAGGTGATTATGAGTTCGGGAGCAGGTAAGTTGTTTTGGTAACAGATTAGTTCCCACAGGAGCTGGTCAATAAAAAGACCAACTCTGGCCCTCTCCCTAGTCTCCTGTTTCCTATCTCACCACATAACTCCCTTTCTTTCTCTTTTCTCTTTCTTCTCTCCTCTCTTCACATGATTGGAAATTCAGGTCATAGTATGTTCATGAACGTTTCAATTTTATCCTTCTGTTTGTAAAAACTCTTAAGCGCTCTAGACTTCCAAATACTAGAAGACAACGCCATATTCACCCTAGAGTCACTCCTTCCCTTAAAAATACCTGCCGTTGTTCTAAAAGTGCCTTATACCCAAGATCAGCAAGTCCAGTTATGAAGGAAGTTATTTCCTTAGACCAGTAGCTAGTTTAGAATGGTCATTATGGTGGTTCGAATAAAAATGGCTCCCATAGGTTCATATATTTTAATGCTTAGTTACCAGGAAGTGGAACTGTTTGAAAGGATTAGGAGGTGTGGCCTTGTTGGACTTTAAGGTTGCAAAAGCCCAAGAGAGGCCCAGTCACCCCCCACCACCACACACACACACACACACACACACACACACACACACACACACACACAGATCAGGACGTAGCTCTCAATTACTTCTCCAGCACCCTGCCTGCATACCTCTAAAACTTATGGAAGAAAATATTGAAGACAGAACCATACACATTATATAAGGAGCATCAAGACACTCCACCTTGTAAGAAACTATGTAAAAGCAACCAGTGAAAAAGAATTTAAAAGCAATCAGAATTTTCTATGTATTTGGTCATACACTAAAGGTATTTCTAGGTGGCAATATAACTTTACCTTAACGTTCTCCAGCTAAGGTGGTGGACTAGAACAGCCCACTTGTGACACTAAGAAGGAAAATCAGTGCCAGAATAGATTCTATTCCAAAAAGAAAGAAAGGGCTTGAGATGTGCACAAAAGTGATGATGTAACAGCAGACTGTAAGAAACGAATGAGCAATGCACAGAAAAGAAGCAAGGCCAACGCAATACAGCTTCCCCCATAGGAATCCCCAGCAAGGGGAGAGGAAGCAGAAATCATATCTAAAAGGTAAGCTAGAGCCCCTGGAAGAAAGAGTTAAAGCTAAGGGTGGTTGGCAGATCCACTGAGTTTCACAGTCCATCAGCTGGGCAGGTCCTCCCATTTCCTCGGATTATATGCCCTTCTCTGAGGTGGGCAATGTTCAATCTGAGGGTGTCTCCCAAATGCAATCTGGGGGAAGTAAGGGAGCAGTCATAACACTCTATAGGCAAAGGATTTGTTCTTTCCAAATCCCCTAAGTACTGAACTTCCTACTGGATGGATGTGGATGTCTGGAGTTTTTGGCTGGAACACAAAGCTTTTTGAATCTACAGAAGTGAAAGGCCAACAGGTGGATCCAAGTTCGGAGGTATTAAACTCCAAAATTATTCTCAGTTGGAAGAAACTGCTATACAACAAAAGGGAATAACTGATCAAGAAGAAGTAACCATTTTAAATATATGTGCACTAAAGTAAAGATACTTCAGAGTTAAACTATATCATCAATCAAATAGAATCAACAAATATATAAAGAATATTCTATCTAATAGAAACGGTATACACATCTTCTCTACAGTTTGTGTAACCATCCCTAAAATAGATGACATTCTAAGTCGCAGGACAAACCTTAAACATGAAAGAACAGAAATAATCTTGTGGATATCGTCAGGCAACTATAAGCTAAAATGAAGACAAGAGAAGCGACAGAAACTACACAAACACTTGAAGATTGAACAATACATTCTTGATGACCAGTGGGTCATTGAAAAATCAAAGAAACTATTAAAAAAATCGTAGAAGAAAGTTAAAAAAAATAACTTCCTAGAACTTTGTGATACAATTAAGTCACTCCTAGGACCATAGTTTACATCTGTGGAAATATTATATCGTACATAGTCGAAAAATATACTATATATTAGAAAAAGATATCTTACATAAATAACATACTGATACACACTGAGGTTGTAAAATAAGAACAAGACAAAGTAGCTAGAAATAATAAAGATTAGAGCAAAAAATAATTGATGAAATGGAGACTAAAGAACAATACATGGAATCAAACAAAGAGGTGGTTTTTGAGAAGATAAATGCAATTGACAAACTCCTAGCCAAAATATCCAATTGAGAATGACCCAACTTAATGAAATCAGAGCTGAATAGAAAACATTATAACAGATTCCAATGAAATCCAGGGGTTCATTGAGAAGTACTTTGAAACTTATATCTCCCAAACCTGCATAATCTGTATTATGTAAGAAATGTATAACGGTACTAATTTTATTAAATCAAGATGACATAAACAACGTAAGCAGATCCATATCAAGTAATGACACTGAAGCAGTAATCAAAAGCTTTTCACTTTATGAAAGACTCAAAAGTGATGGATTCACTGACATTTCTGCCAAATGTTTGAGAAAGAGATAACAAATAATACTCCTCAAACTCTGCAATGGCAATATTCTGCAAACTGTAAATCAACAATACTCCTTAAACTGAAATACAGCAACTCTTCAAATTACACAAGATAGGAAGGGAAGGATACTCACCAAACTAATTCTACAACGCTAGCATTACCATGATACACAAACCAGATAAAATACACAGGAAAAAAAGAAAAAGAAAAGAAAGACAGGCTGTAGGACAATGTCACCGACAAACACAAACAGAAAACTTTTCACCAAAAATTGTTGTAAATCTTACTCAGGACCACAGTAACTCTTGCAGAAGACCCAGGTCACAACATCTACATCAGTGTTTCTCAACCTGTGGGTAAAAGGGGTCACATATAGATATCCTGCATATCAGATATTTACATTACAATTCATAACAGTTGACGTGGGATGTCCTTCTGTATATGTATTGCTTTTATTGGTTAACAAATAAAGCTGCTTTGACCTATGGCAGGGCAGAATATAGTCAGGCTGGAAGAGATTATATAGAAAGAGTAGGCAGAGTCAGAGAGACACCATGTGGCTACTGAAGGAGACAGACACCAGATCCTTAACAGTAAGACACAACCCCGTGCTGATACACAGATTACTAAAAAGGGGTTAATTTAAGATTTAAGAGTTAGTTAATAAGAACTCTGAGCTAATAGGCCAAACAGTATTATAACAATATAGTTTCTGTGTGATTATTCAGGTCTGAGAAGTTGGGAAACGAACGAGCAGTCTCAGTTTACAAAGTGAAGCCAAAGTGAGCCAAAAAACCTGAGGGAGCTTGGGAAGGAATTCCAGACACAAGAACAGAGTTAAGCATGACTTCTTGGTAGCTGTACTATTTTTCAGATTTGTTCTGTTTGCTGGTGGCAAGCAAAGGCATGGCTTCTTTAAGAGAGGGCTTCCTGACTCAGTGTTAGCAGCAAAAAACTGCATTACTTCATTAAAAAAAAACTTCCTAGTGCATGCTGGTGCTGATAGAATGAACTCTGGCTCTTTTGGGAGGTCCTGCACTTAAATGGGATCTGTAACAGCATGTTACAAATTGCATAATGGTAACATAGACCCACTGCTTCCCTGGAGCTGGGGGGTGTGCACGACTCACAGAGGCAGTGAACATACTTCTGCCATGTTGGACTGGTCAGAGCAAACAGGCAGGGCCACGGAGTTGGTCCTAGTCACATCTGCTTAGCAATTAAAAACAAAACACTCCTAATCAGAAAAAGATTTCAGATATGCAATAGGACAGATTCAGACACAAAAGACCTCTAAATGAGACACAGTGTGTTTAAAAAATGTACATAGGCTTCAGAGAGAGAGAAAAAGAGTATAGGCAGTTATAAAAGAAATAGTTTTAAAAATAAAACAAATTCTTTAAGGAGACAATAAAAGTAATATAAAAGAGCACAGTCAGTAACAAATTAGAGGAGTAAAGAAACATAAGCCACAAAGATAAAAAAAAACACACAGAGAGTCTGAATTATGTGTATTATTGTGTTTTCTTTGAACTTTTGACTGCAGAGAGATATTTGATTTGGGGGACTGCTAAGCTAAACCAACATAAAGGTATACTGACTTCAAAATTTGGGTCTAAGGATATGTTACTTTGGAAAAGAGGTTGTTTTTGTTTCTACAGAAGATGAGGACCTGTGGATTCTTTCTAGGCTAATGTTGTTTGATGGAACAAGAACTCCCCCTCTTCCAAAATGGTCTCTGTGAACCCTAAAAATACGTCACCCAACAAACAGCAGGAAGCAGTTTGAAGAAAACAATGGTCAAATTCCCAAAATAATTGTTTATAAATGTTTGCTTTTATTTAAAGGGAGATACAATATAGAAATGAAGAATACATTGGTATGGACTTTAATTTATTGATATAAATTTAAGATCAATTTTGTTATATGTATATTTCTATTCTTATTTAAAGTATTATGTTTATACAGATCATTGAGATGGAGGAAGGGCAGATATGGGAGCAGGGAAGAAGATATCTTAATTAAGGGATCC